ATCCTCCTGCCTCAGCCAACCTGTCCTGATGGACACTGTGACATAGTTCCTGGAATGGCTTACTCCAGTAACACACCGTGTCATGCCTTTGCTAACCCTCTGTTATATTTTCTAAAATTGTAATTAGTTTTTGGTAAATAATTCACAGTTCTCTGATGAAGTAGGACTTCACACATTTACCGGCCACTGGCTTACTGTGTTTTGTGAAGCCCTTTCATCTTTTTCTTGACTCACTAAATTTTAGCCAGTATTACTGGCTTCATTTTATCAAAATGAAAAACTTAATACCCTTATGATATCTCTTATGCCCTGTCTTTTGCCCTCTGTTTTTGTTATTTACATAATTTTAGCTCTTCAATTGGTAGATTTTACATTGGAAGAATAATCTAATTATACCTTTATCCATTTTTCAACTTTGGGCTGCATGTATTGACTCTTTACTAAGAAAGATAAGTAAGTTAAGATTTTAAATGTGTTTTCATTATTTTTTCTTTCTAAGCTTGAGGTTTATTATTTGTTTTCATTTTGTGAGCTCTTACACTCTCTAAATTCAGCTAAGCCTTTATGGTTTGCTACAGTCGATCCTCAAAATTAAAAACCAATAAGGAGGTTGGATAACAGGTTCCAGACATAGTTAGATAGAAGAAGGGGTAAGTTCTGGAGCTACACACACACTGGGGTGAGTGTAGTTTGCAATGCCCAGTTGCATATTTTATGAGAATCTAGAGGAGAGAAGATCAGAGACACCAAACATAAAGAAACAAGGAGACAGAACTGGTAATTACCTTGATTTTACTAGTGTGTGATTACACATGGGTTGAAATATCTCATTGTGCCCCATTAATATATACAACGAATACATGTTACTACCCAAAAAAATAACATTTGAAAACCAGTAAGGAGCGTTTATGCGGTGTGTCCCACAAACGTCATGGACCAAGGTGTTGCAGGTGTGTTTGTTCCTGCAGAGGAGGAGTAGTGATACATAACTGAACATGTGCTTCTTCATTTTCCGTCCCTGGAGACACCTACTACCTTCTTGTTTTATCTCTCTCTGACCGCCAGCTCGCTTTTGGTTCGTTGGCTGTGCATCCGTTGACCTATAAAGTCTTAGGAATGAGAGTGTGTGTGTGTCCTTGCCATGCAGCCTCTCTATAGCATCACGGCTCGGATACACTTCCTCAGCCCTGTAAGATAAAAGCCTGCTGCAGCATTGGGCACTGCCTTGCCTCTGGGCACCTGCTGCCTGCTCCTTTGGGCCTGGATGTGTTATTTACCACTGCGGAGCAGTTAGCTCCCTGCTCCTATCACCCACAGCTCCTCCTGCACCCCGCGTGCCAGGTCCTGTGGGTCCAGAATCCAGGCAGGGTGGAGCTGGGGCCCAGAGTTGCACACAAGCTGTGGTCATGTCGGTGGCTGGGTCTGTGGTCTCCTCCGAACTCGGGGGTCCGGAGGGTCTGCCCCGGAGATCCTGAGTGCTGTGGGCCTTGGCACATTCACCTCCTGCAGTTGCTGAGCTGTGCTGCACCCTCACATGGCTGCGGGGAGAAGCTCGCTGTGCTCTGCTTTCGTCACCTGCCCTGGCTTCCCTTGGAGCAGCCCAGCAGCAGCAGGAGGTGGTGAGATGGAAGCCAGTGCTCCTGTGAGCAACGCTGGAAGCCTGTGCATGCCTGTCCGATGGTCATGTGTGTGTGGTTGCATGAGTCCGTGCTGCCTTGCCTCACAGTAGGAAAGTGACCCAGTGGACGTCACTGCTGCCCCTCCTAATACCTTTCCTTCTTTGGTTCTCCCTCGCATCTGCCAAGAATGTCTGGATAAACCTGAGCTCTCCTCCCTGGCCCAGTGCAGCTCCCTCCTTAGGAGCCTTTTTAGGAAGCCGGCCTCCTTTGCTAGAGAGGGCAAGTCTTAGATGGTGACCTGGGTGCCCTTTTTTTCTTTATTTTGGGGTGTGAAGAGGGGTGTCTTAGACACTTTGTCAGCACTGAGGCACAGTACCCGACACTCACGGCTGCAGAGGTTTAATGTGGTTCATGGTTCAGTCCATGGTCCATGGCGCTAGGCAGGGCACTGCGGCTGAGGGGCCTGGCGGAGGAGAAGCAGAGAGAGGGAGGAATCGGGAGGGAGATGCACCCTGCCAGGCCACGCCCAGTGACTGCCCCTTCCGTCCTGGTCCTGACCCCACAAGTCAGCTGTGAGCCCCAGAAGCCCCCGGCTTCCGAAGGTGCCACCGGTGATGTGTGCCCGTGTCGCCCCTGCTTTGGTTTGGTGGCTCAGAGCTGGCACTTCGGGCCCTCTCGGTGGGGACATCTTAGCAAGCTCCACTCCTGCGGTTCCCACCAAGCTAGTTCTTCTTAGTTTTTTCTTTATGAAATTTCACAAAATTCCCAGTGTGTTGGTGGCCTGCTTGCTTTTTCCTGGTGCTGCTAATGCTTGCATTCTTTAATCAGAGGTGTTTTCCTAGCGCAGCAGTGGGAACTGGGACGGGAAGGGGGTGGCGTGGGACGTGGCCATGGGAACTCAGCCTCACGCTCTGCGCTGGACTCGCCTTTTCCTTTTTCATAGAAAATGGGGAGCACCGGTCTGCTGCCTGGTGTGGGTCTAACACATTCATAGTAAATCTGGTGTGTTTCTAATAGGTTGATGAGAGAGGACAGAATTTCATTGTCAATAGTTCCTTTTCTTGTGCTGTTATTTCCTCCCTTTAAAGTTCCCCGAAGTGTCCTTTTATGAGGTTTGTGCTCTCTTTCTTCTTCCCCTCCTCTCACTTACATCTGCTCAGCCCTTCTCTCTTTGGGGGATTCTTCACAACTCGGATCCTTGCTGCTGGTCCGCTCTCCTCCAGCATGGTTAGTGTGCCCTGGAAGTGCTGGGGCATTACAGAGACTGAGCTCAAAGTGGGATTTAGAATGATCTTAAGATTTTTTAAGTTGTAAGGAACACAGAACTATTTCAAACTGGTTTGAGTTAGAAAGAGAATTTATCAAGGCCGGGGATTTAGCACTGCACCTGCCTCGCAAGCACAAGGTCCTGAGTTTGAGCTCCAGTACCAAAAGAAAAAGAGAGAGAATTTATCCGAAGGAAACAACAGTGTCTCACTGAGCCCCAGGAAAAGCTGCATGCAGATGTCCCTTGGGGAGGGAGCCAAATGCGGAAAGCCTCCAGGAGCCCAGGCAGCATCCTGCTCTGTTGCAGACTGCCCGTGAGTCTTGGGTCCTCACAGACTCACTTTGACTGCTTTGGCAGGGGCATGGCCTAGTGGGCAACCATGAACCATGCCTGAGTCCCAAGTTCATGCCTTCTGCATCCAAGAAACACGCCGGGCCGGAGCTCTGGATTCTGGCTCAGCTTGTCCAGCTGTGTCTCCGTAGCTGTTCAGTGTGGTTGGGAGGGTAAGTTCTGTGTATAAATACAGGGCTGAAACTCCGGGTCCCAGAGAAGAGCACTAGACAGGTGACTCCCAGGGCCTATGCCTTTTCTCCTCTGAGAGACAGTCTAGCTCAGGGGCATGCATACTGGAGTGGGCTGATGGTATCATCGAAGACTCTAAAAGGTTCTCCATCCCTGTCTAGCTTGAGGTCAAGGATGTGAACTTTGGGTCAGACAGACCTCAGCTGGAATCCTAGCTCTGCCCTCTACTTGCCATGTGACCTGGGTCCAGTAAAGAATCTCCAAAGACCAGATTCTTTCTCTGTGCTGTTGTGTCTCCAGGTGCTGGGAGGCTGGACAAGACAATGTTTGGTACATGTTAGGCAGTCAGTACACAATAATTATTAATTACTACCATCACCATACCATTTGGGGAAGATTTTATGCACAGAGGAGCATGCATGTTACCCTCCAAAAAGTACAAGAAGATCTGGAAGCAAATTTCAGATACTCCAGAATTGCCTTATCAGTAGAAACCCGGGAGTGAGTTTTGTTGTTACCACACTGCCAAAGCAGTGGACACGAGTCAGCCTGCTGAAGGTAGGGCCTAGGGAGTCTACACTCCCTTCTGGAGTGTGTGTTGCTGCTTGGTTTTGGTCAGAGCAGTTCCTTCAAGCTGGTGCCTTGTCTTGTGGTTGCTGGGTCCCTTCTGTGTGGGGCAGGTCTGTTTCATGTACAGGTACACGGTGAAACATTTTGAAGTGCACACTGGAAACCATGTGTTGTCTTCTGGAGACAGGAATTGATTATGCCCAGAACAGGCTGTAAGCAGTGCAGGCTGTGAAGAGTTAACCCCACATTGGCTTGTTTACAGAAGTGAGTCCGGCCAAAGCCTATATGCTGAGGTCAGAGTAGCTCGCACCCAAATTCTGTTCCCACAACTAAAACCTTCTGACTAGAAGGACAGTGTTCTAATTACAAGCATATATTTTGTCTATTCCGTTCCTAATTCGAGAATGCTTCCTCTTGTCCTTTACGAGCCTTGCTTACATTAATTTCCATAGAAACCACATGACTGTGCATCCTCACCCATAGTTCTGCCCTTGCACATAGCTCACCTTTACCCCAGTTGATTACCAATAAAAATCCGTGGCTTGGATCGGCCAGAGCCTTGGTCACTTGCACCGGCCTTGGTTGTCCTGGCCCCTGCTTTCTGTCTCTCTTAGTTCTTTTAGGTTTTTTTGCCTCAGGCCTTTGTCATACACTGGGAAGAGACTGGAGCCTACTGCAGAGGTCTCCAGCAACGTCTCAGGGGTCTCCAGTAGTTGTCCATTCAGAAGGCCTCAATGTTTTGTTAAAGGAGATGTCCTGCTTTCTTTTTACATATTTCCCCTTGCACTGTTCTCGCTTACCTATGGCCTCATGGGCAGAGGCATAGCTAAGTGAATTCTTAGTGAAGAACGTGTCGAAGGACGATTCCCATTTGGTGTCTCTGAAGGAAACCTACGTAGGTGGGAGGTGAATGTTATTTGGGAGAGAGCTGGCCAATCGCTGATGCACGTGGCGTCTTTCCTAACCCCATGTGAGCTCTGCAGCGCAGTGTCTCAGGACTGATGGTGTCATTTTCTCTCAAGCTATGCAGACATCTTGATTGAGAGGGAAGTGCTAATGCAGAAGTACATGCACCTCGTTCAGATCGTAGAGACGGAGAAAATCGCCGCTAACCAACTTCGACACCAACTTGAAGACCAGGACACAGAGATTGGAAGGCTTAAATCAGAGGTATTTCCAGTGATGATCCCTGCTCACTGTTTCCTGTCTTCTATCTACTCCCCACAATTATCTCTGTCATGTTCAGGGCAAAACTTGAATCCCAGGCTCAACTGCTGGGCCATCAACGTGAGTGGCCGGGCTCCTGACCTAGACCGGAAGCTGGAGTGTGCATCAGGCTCAGGCAGAGGCGCTCCAGGAGATGCCCACTTTTCATGGAGTGCTCTTACTGTCCTTCAGAGCAGAAATTCAAGAGCTGTCTAGAGCCCTTCCCTGTCTTCAGGTGGACTCTGGGATTAATAATTGTGACTGTCACCAAGTCCATGTAGTAAAAATTGACAACTAGAAAAGGCCGAGACGCGACCCCAGTGATGCTTTCCTTTGTCCCCATCCAGGGGGCCCAGGCTTTCCCTGGAGCTGTGCAGATCACACGGGGGTGCCGGTGGGGCTTCCCCGAGGCTGGTGCTCTGGTGTCCCCATCCTGCCTGTCCTCTCCTCTTGGGCCCTGCACTGTGGAGAGGGAGATCACAGAGCCCGTGGCCGTGACACTGAGCCGGGGCCCCTGTGGCCGGGGCCATTGTGTGTGGAGAAGGCTGGGTCCCTTCCACGTGGTGCTGTTGGTCCACGGAAATGAGCAGCCACTGAGGAACAGAGAAGCTGCCAGCTGGAGTTTATCAGGGACACCTCAGTGTCTTCTCAGGCCCGAGGCAGGGGCCGGGCCTGGAACTCACAGGAGCTGTGTGGGCTCCTCACCCGTGGCCACTTTCTCTGTCATCAGACGTTGTCCACGTTTCCTCACACTTCCAGACTCTGCACGCTGTCACCTCTGCTCCCTGGGGTGTCCAGTGCAGCACACAGCTTTGTCCCAGTCTTGCCCCTGGGCTAGGGTCACCAGCTGCGCTCCCCGCACCATTAGGATTGTCACTCCCAGCTCAACCCTGAGACCCTGCACAGTGGGAACAGCAGCAGAAAGCATGGCAAGCCTCCACTGTGACAGTCTCTATCAGGCGCTGTCATTTAAGGTGGAATTACCATGTTCTCTGCCGCAGCAGACAAGGGCCGGGGCTCGTCCAGCAGAGGTGGGGCTGGCATTCACCCCGGTGGGTGCTCGCCCCAGCCACGCTTCCCAGTGCTCGCTTGTTGTGCTGATTTGTCTCTGCTGTGCTCTGTGTGGACAGAGTGCAGATCACAGTACACACTGGCCAGTAGGGAGCGGGGAGCCGTCTAAGGGCACCTGGCAGAGCCGGACTTTATCTCCCACTCCCTTTGTTTCCCCGATTCTGTGCCAGAAACTGACAGAGTATCTGGTGTTGGGGGCCAGACACAGACTGCTTGGGCCCGACCGTGTCCCTGGCTTTGAAGTACAGCTTCTCCGTGGACCTCTTGGGTTCTTGTGCCCCTTGAAGGTCATCACCAAGTGGGTTGAAGCTCCATCTGACCTTGAATTGTCCCTCAGGGGTCGAAGAGCTGAGTGGGAGGTGGGCAGCGAGATGCAGCTGTCTCAGTCCTTCGTCCTGTCTCTGTCCCTGCGGAGTCCTCGGTGGGTGGGTCCAGCCCCAGTGGGGTGAGGTTCCCGTGCAGAGCCCTGGGAGGCCCTGGGCCGCCATGTGCCCTGGAAGGCCATGGCTGATGCAGGCGAGAGCTCTGAGCGCTGCTCTGCTTTTGGAGACCACAGAAGCCTGCTGGGTCCTGGCCAGGCCCTGGCTGCTGTCCCTCCTAACCACCCCTGGGCACACTCTCCCAGGCTCCTCCTGTCAGCACTTTGGTTGGGAACCTGGGGTCAAGTTTGTGCTCCCTACCTTAGCACCCAGAAAGAGAGGGCATGTAAAGGGAAGGTCCCCTGAGACCACTTGCAGGCAGAGCTTCCTGTGGCTGTGGCTGTACCCCACTGTTCCCCGGATCAGAAACGGATCCATTGTGTGTTACAGATTATTGCTCTCAATAAAACCAAGGAACGGATGCGCCCTTATCAGAGCAACCAAGAAGATGAGGACCCGGACATCAAGAAGATTAAAAAGGTAGGATTAGCAGGGCGCGATGGTGGATGCTTACAATCCCAGCACTCTGGAGACTGAGGCAAGAAGTTTGCAAGTTTGAGGCCAGCTGAGACAACCTAGCAAGACCTTGTGTCAAAGTTAAAAATAATAAATCAAAAGAGCTGGGGATGTAGCTCACTGTGAAGTCCTGGGTTCATTTCCAAGTGAGAGAGAGAGGAGAGAGAAAAGAAAGAGAAAAAGAAAGAAAAGGAAGACAGAAAGGAAAGGAAAGAAAGAAAGGAAAGAAAGAAAGGAAAGAAAGAAAGAGAAAAGGAAAGAAAAAGAAAACAAACACAAGGTGGGATGTTAGAGAATTCTGGGTCAGGGCCCCGTGGTTGACCAGCTGTCTGCTCTGAGACACCTCTGCTTGACATCCCAGCTGGAATAGCCTCTGTGCTTCCCTTCGAGGGACTGGCCTGGAGACTCTCAGTTGAGCTCTGAGCTGCCACCTGCTTTCCACCCTTGGGAAGGAAGGAAGCAGCACCGGCTGAGACCACGGCATTCCCAGTAGGCTTGGGAGTGCTGTGGACCCTGCCGACTGCTGCTTCTATTTGGGAGAATGTAAAAAGTTACATTTGAAAAACAGTTGTTGTTGTGTCCTGTTGTATTGTTATGTATTGTGTCTTGTTTAACAACCACACAAACAGCAGATCTTTCCATCTGATGTTTATAATCATACAGCTTTTCTTTTGTGTATGTTCTCTTATTTTTCAGTTTTTGTTTTTATTAGCATATGTTTGCAGTACACTATGATTACTGTCCTTAAGGGGGGTTGGCGCATGGACACAAAACATCTGAATTCTTCTTCCACCTCCTTCCCTGCCCCTCCCTGTATCCCTTGGTCCCCTTCCATTTGGAAAGGCTCTGTTTCCTTACTTTCTATTCTCTATCTTTTGTTTTGCTTTTTATTTATAGTTTGGGATTCTCATATAAGAGGAAACCATGCAGTATTTAAGCTCGTGTGTCTGATTTATTTCACTTAACATTATGATCTCAAGGTGCATCCGTTTGCCTACAAATGACTCAAATTTATTCTTCTTTATAGCACAGTAGTAATCCACTGTGTGTAAACAGTACATTTTCTTCATCTATTCATCTGTTGATGAACATACAGGCTGCTTCCAGGATTTGGCTGTTATGAATTATGCTGCTATAAACATGGGTATGCATGCATCGCTATAATATGTTTTAAACTCTTTTGGGAAGAAACCTAGAAGGGAAATAGTTGGGTCAAATGGAATTCCTAGTTTTAGTTTTTTACTGATTTCCATAGTGGTTGCATTTACATTCCCACCAGCAGTGTAGAAAGGTTCTTTTTCCACTGTCATCTTGCCAGAATTTGTTACTGTTCAATTTCTTGATGATGGCCATTCTTTCTGGAGTGAGATGGAATTTCAGTGTTGTTTTAATTTTCATTTCTGTAATGGCCAGCGATGTTAAAATTTTTTCATGTATTTATTGGCCATTTTTACTTCATCTGAGAAGTGTCTGTTCATTTCAGTTGCTCATTTTTTAATTGGGTCTTTTATTTTTGAGGGATCTAATTTTGTTGAGTTCTTTATATATTCTAGGTATTAGTCCTCTGAGGAGTAGCTGGCAGAATTTTTTTCGCATTCTATAGGCTGTCTCTTCACTCTCTTGGTAGTTTCCTTTGCTGTGCAGAAGCTTTTTAATTTGATACGGTTCCATTTGTTGATTCTTGATGTTATTTCTTGTATAATTGCACAGCTTTTCCAAGGGACATGCAGGGACTTCTAGTCCACTGCATTTGGATTTATGTGATCTAGACTCTGTTTTGTGATCTTAATTGTCTCATGTAAGACACTCAGCTTTGTATAAAATTATGCAGAAAGAATCATATATAAGGCACTTTCCCTAGATAGACAACTTCACATCTTAATGTTTTCTTATTCCTGTTTTTCTATATTAAACAATTATTTCATTTTCACTGTAACAAAACTTTAACCAAATATTGCTTAGAATTTGGAATAGAAATAATTATTAGGACCAAGTTAATATTTTCAGTTTTCAAGAAATAAAAAAACAAAATAACACCATTCTTTTAGAATTTCAATTTTTTTTTTTTGGTACTGGGGATCAAACTCGGGTCCTTGCACTTACACAGCAAGCGGCGAAACCACTGAGCTAAATCCCCGGCCCAAGAATTTTAAATTTTTATTTGAATCTGGTTTCTGTTATTGTGTTACAACATTAGTGCTATTTCTTTTCTTTTAACAGTATGCAGTTGGATGTAAACAAAGATATTAATAAAATTCAATTTTCAGTTTTGTCGTAGAAGGTGGTCTGTTAGTAAATAAGTGAAGCAGCTGCTATTGTTCAGAGAGAATACCTGCCCAGAAAGATTTTAACTCAAAATTTAATTAAGTTGATTTTTGAAAACACTTCTATTAAATGGAAGAATAATGATAAAATATGTATTTTTAAAAACAATTTTCTGCCATTTTAATTCTTAATAGAAGTAATTTTTAAATGTGCTTCTGAACTTGTTAAATAGGTTTTGAAATTAACTTTATCATCTTTTACGTCCCAAATCAAAATGATGTCTGTGGAAAGTGATGTATTTACAAATTAATTGCCTCTTCTGATCTTGGCAAAATGTAATTTTTTTTTCATTTCAAGAGAGTACATCTTGAAGTTGCTTGTAATTCACAGAAATTTTTCATTAGATTTCCTGAAATAATATGCATATAGTTTCCTCACATATATATATTTTTTGTGGTACTGGGCATTGAACCCAGGGCTTTTCACTAAGCTACATCCCTAGCCCTTTTTATCTTTTCATTTGAGACAAGGTCTTGCTAAATTGCCTAGGCTGGCCTTAAACTTTCCATTCTCCTGCCTCAGCGTCCCCAGAATAGCTGGGATTTCAGGTGTGTGCCACCACGCCCGGCAGTTTCTCCATAGAATCAATTAAAATGTCCTTAATTTTTATTGTTTGAGGTACAGCAACATTAATGCCTCGTTGAAAATTGATAGTATTGTGTCAGCATCTGAAGGCAAATAAGAAAGTGTTAGATATTACAAAAGAAGGGTAGATGTTTAAATACATGATCATTTAGACCATGTGGGAAAATGGTATGGAAGAAAATTTTAAAAATATAAGGAAGTGTTGGGTAACAGTGCTCCTAAGAAATAGTGAATTAAAGCTTTCAATTATTAGTGAATTTGCAGCCAGCTTTGTTGCTGAATCTGCCACATCTAATGTGACAAATCTTAGTTATTATATAATTTTTATACATAGAGAAGACTTCATTTTTTTTGGTCAGTTATTTTACAGATAAGGAAACAGGATCAGAGTTTAAGGTCACCCTGTTGATTGGCGGTGGAACCTATGGTTTAAGGATAATGACACAAACCTGCCTGCTGAGCACCCAGAAAGTACCTGGGCACCTGAAAGATGCACAGCCAGCCTTTGCTGATTGCTAAATCACAGTGCTGTTTCTCATATTTGCCTATTATTTTTTATATCACAGCTAATTCAGATCAGCCTTAGAAGCCATGATGTTTCTGCAAAATATCTTTTATATTAAATTATAGTTCATGTTTTTCACAAAATAGTCACTATGGCAAGTAGTTCATGTGTATCTTGCCCTCGTGGCTGGGTAAGTGTCTTCACAGTTAAGAGAAGGCTGGCAAAAGAACCGGGAGTCTGGTTACAGCTGTGTGACTTACCTTGTAATTTGGTGTGTTCGTTACAGAAGGGAGGGGCTGGATGTGCTGATCTCTGACACTTATTTTTAAAACTTAAAAGCCAAAAAATTCAATAGCAAGAAATCAGATACCTGATTTAAGACAGGGAAAGGATTTAAATACACCACTGTACAAAGACAAGACACAAATGGCCAATGAGCAAATAAAGAGGTTTTCAGCATCATGGATTGTGACAGGGACACAAATAAATCAAAACCACTGTGAGGAGCAGGGATGTAGCTCAGTGGCACAGCACCTGCCTGGCAAGCACAAAGTCCTGAGTTCGATCCTCAGTACCAAAAAACACAAAATAAAAAATAAAAAAACCCACAGTGAGCTGAAACTGCACACGGGTCAGGATAGCTGATGTCACAAAAACAACAGAAAACCACACACCTGGGGGCAGCCATGGAGAATTGGGATATGGTGCAGTGTGAATGGGACATGGCAAACAGTTCCCAAACTCTTAACAGTGGCCTTGCCCTTCGACCCAACAACCCTGAGTCTGGCTAAATGGGCAAGGGAATGAGTAGAGGGCGTGGCAGAGACATCTGTGCATCCACGTGCGTGTGTGCAGCACTAACACAGGAGCTAGGACGGGGCGCCACTCACTGGCCAGCGACAGATGGTTGGGAGATGGAAATCGGCGTGTGCCTGGGAACACCGCCTTCTTGAAGTGAGGAGATACCAGGACAGGACGGGGAAGCCAGCCAGCCTGGGGACACAGGTCCTGTCTGATCAGGGCGCTGTGTGAAGCCTCGGAAGTAGTTGCATTCACAGGAATGGAGCAGAGTGGCAGCGAACAGACTGAGGGGAGGGGGACAGGGCTTGCCGGGTCCTGGCTGTAAAGGTTGAATTTTGCAACAAGAAGCTGCTCCGTGATCTCATCCCAAGCAGCAGGACACGCTGACCACTGCTGACTTGTGTACTTATAAGTCATGAAAGATCATGAATTGTAGACTTAAAAATCACGAAGGGGTGGATGTGGCTCAGTTACAGCACATTTGGCTCACGTACACGAGGCCCTGGGTTCTACCCCGAGTTACAAAAAACAAAACATGGTACATTTTCATTCTTTTAAAACTGCAATTTAAAGCAAATTAAGAAAAATCTTTCACTGTATTTCCGAAATGTTGTTATTAATAAATGAGAAGTGTTATTATATTCTAGAGTCTGTATAGATAGGCCTGAGAGTTTAAGGAATGGAAGAAAGTTGTGAACCTGAGAAAAAAGTACTATTTTAAAAGTCATCCCTTTTTCTTGCTATTTGGAGAAAGCTTGCTGTGATGTACTCAACCGGTGGACACTGATGATTCCATGAAAGTGCATTGTGGTTTTCCCCAGTCCTGAGGATTGAGCCCAGGGTCTTTGCACTGAGCCACCTGTCCAGCCCTTTCTCTAGTTTCTGTTTTAAGACTGGGTCTCCCTAAATCGCTAAGTTTCCCAGACAGGGTTTGCACTTGAGATCCTCCTGCCTCCACCACCATGCCCAGTGTAAGAAAGTCAGGCTCAGATGTCCCTGCTATTCTCCCTGTTCTGCAGGTCCAGAGCTTCATGCGAGGCTGGCTATGCAGGAGGAAGTGGAAGACCATAGTGCAGGACTACATTTGCTCGCCCCATGCCGAAAGCATGCGCAAGAGGAACCAGATTGTGTTCGCCATGGTGGAGGCGGAGTCAGAGTACGTGCACCAGCTCCACGTGCTGGTCAACGGCTTTCTGCGGCCCCTGCGCATGGCTGCCAGCTCCAAGAAGCCGCCCATCAGCCACGATGATGTCAGTAGCATTTTCCTCAACAGGTGTGGCTTTGCCCGAGTCCAGAGTCAGGTGAAACCCACTTGCAGTTCTTAAGAGAGTTTTCCTTATTCTCAAAGAGTCAGGCTTCTGGAGTCTGCCTCCGTGGCTCTGACGTCAGCAGCGAGGAAGCTGGCATTGCATTGTGTTTGGTCATTAGTGCCCATCCGCAGCCATCCGGAAGCCTGGCTTTCCATTTTCTTCTCAGTTTACTTTGCTGTGTGGCAGATTCCTCTTTTGATTGTGTGGGGTGAGTGTGTGGGGAAAAGACCCCCTCAGACACAGAGGGGAATGAGACATTGAGGGGCCATGGCATACAGTTTGCATGTGAGCACTTTGAGAAGACTAAAAACTAAGACAGGGCCTCGGAATCCTTGCTGAACTTAATTGTTGAGCACATATTTCTAGTGTCCTTATGACTGAAGATTGATTAGTGAACAAAGCAGAAAGTCCCTGGCTTCATGGGATTCAATTTTGATGCAAGAAGATAGACAATGAATAGTGAATAAATGAAATGCGTGAGATGTGATTGAAGGTGGCAAGAATAATGGGATAAGTGTGTTTGAAGCAAAGGGAGGATTTTGAGGGGATTCCTGGCAATTTGCCTTTTAATGTAGTAGTTACATCTGCCTTCAGTGGGTGCCAGGTGGGTGTACTGGTGGAACTGAACTTGTGTCCAGAATATAGCTGCAAGGGAGTCTGAGAAATGTAGTTTTAGCTCATCACCCGCTCTGTCTGGAAGGAGGAGGGAGTACAGACTGAAAGAATAATTTAAGGACTTGACAAACTTGATTTGGTTTGAATCCTGGAACAACAAACCATACTCAATTAAAATTTCTATAAAAGAAAAAACATCACAGTCTTCCAGCTATGCCTAGTTTATTTCATTGACCCTTTGAACATAGTGATCATGTCTTCTTTTGTTTGTTTTAATGGAATTTGACTTGCAACAAGCCAAGGTATCTCACTGAGAAGAGGAATTCTGTTTTTTAAAATTTCTGAATGTTATTTTTTATTTATTTTATTTTATTAGTACGTGTTTGCAGCACATAATGTTTACATTCCTTGTGGGGAGTTGGTACATGTATATGACACATCTTAATTTCTTTTTTTGTCCCCTTTCCCTCCCCTCCCTTTCTCTCCCCTCCCTTTCTCTCCCCTCCCTCTCTTGTTCCTCTTCTCATTTGAGGAAGATCTATCTCCCTACTTATTATCTTCTATCTTTTATTTTGCTCATTTATAATTTGGGTTTCCCATATAGAGAAACCATGTACTATTTAAGCTTGTGTGTCTGATTTATTTCATTTAACATTATGGTCTCAAGGTGGATCCATTTTCCTGCAAATGATTCATTCTTTTATATGACCAGCAAACGTATGAAGAAATGTTCAACACCACTAGGAAGTAGAGAAATGGAAATTGAAACAACACTGAGATTCCACCTTACCCTGGAAATAATGGCTGTCGTCAAGAAATCAAATAATAACAATAATAAATTGTTAACAGCTGGCAAGGCTATGGGGGGAAAAGGAACCCTTCTACGTAGTTGGTGGGAATGTAAACTAGTACAGCCACTATGGAAATCAGAGTGGAGATTCCTCAAAAAACTAAAGCTAGAAATTACATTTGATCCAGCTACTCCCCTTCTAGGTATCTTCCTATAAGAGTTAAAGACATCAGATTATAGTGATCCATGCACTATGACTCATAATAGCTAAATCTTGGAAGCAGTCTATATGTCCACCAGCAGATGAATAGATAAAGAAAGTGTGGTATTTACACTCAAAAGAATTCTATTTTTAATTGTGCTAATGCATTAATTCAAAAAATTTGTTAAAGGCTTGTTGCAATGGGTTAATTCTAATAAGAAACCAAAGGAGATCTTGACTTCTGTAGCTACCCTTCTTGTCCCCTTTAGAAATGTACACCCCTAATTCAATTCTCATTTTAGTGTCAGTGTAGGCTTCATTCTTTTCAGAAGATTCTTTTATAGCTCTGTTGAGTATCTTAGGAGTGGGTATAATACAATTCTGTCAAAATTTTTGCTGTGGATTTTCGCCCCTCCCTCCTTCTGTCAAAACTCATTTCAGTGCAAGAGAGGTCTTTTCTTTGAGTTTCCAGAATCGACTATGAAAAGAAAAGTGATACTAACTTTAACTTTCTGATGATCAGTCTGAGTGGTGCACTTTGACAGCAGAAAACTCCCTCAGAAGTGAGGAAGAGGGTTACACAACGGCGATGTGGTGCTTCTAGTCCTCCAGTTTGAAGCTTACCTCAGGCTTTTCTTTGGTTTTGGAGACAGTGTGCAAGAGGAATCACTTTATGGAGGCTGGCATAGTCCGTGGTATTATTGGCTGTGCAGTTGGAGGCATATCACGTATTTGAGCACTCTAACCACTCACTAGACTTCTTTGACAAAATACTTTGCAGTGACCAAATTGCATTACTTTTCTTTTTTTTTTATAGTGAAACAATCATGTTCCTTCATGAAATATTTCATCAAGGACTCAAGGCCAGGATAGCGAACTGGCCCACTTTAATTTTAGGTAAGTGCATTCCTTGCAGCTGGAGTTCAGGCTCTGATGCCGGTGCCAACGCTGGCAGTTTGGCCTTAGCATCTGACTTTCCCCGGTGCCCCTGGCTCCCCTCCCTCGCCTGGGCTCTGCCCCCTCACCTGTCATGGGTCACTCCACCAAGGGTAACAGCCATGTGTGCTTCTCCTTTCCAGCTGATCTGTTTGATATCTTGCTGCCCATGCTGAACATTTACCAAGAATTTGTGCGGAATCACCAGTACAGCCTCCAGGTGCTGGCCAACTGCAAGCAAAACAGAGATTTTGACAAACTCTTAAAGCAGTATGAAACCAACCCTGCCTGCGAAGGGCGGATGCTGGAGACGTTCCTGACCTACCCCATGTTTCAGGTACATCACTGGGGTGCCTCTGAGTCATGGGCATCTGCTGTGACCACAGAGGGGCATCCGCAAACACCTTGTGAGGAACACTCACCTGCCACTGCCTGACAGACAGATGGGCCACGCATGTGCTGTCTAGTACATGTAAGAAGCCAGGCATCTTCTGACTGTCTTCTCTTCCTTTCCTCTTTCTTTCCTTTTTCTCTTCCTTCTTCCCTCCCTTCTCTCCCTCGCTCCTTCTTTTCCTCCTCTCTCTCTCTTTCTCTTTTTCTCATTTTTTCCTTCCCACCCTCCCTCCACCCTTTGCTTCTCTCTTTCTTTTTTTCACAGTGCTAGGGATCAAACCCAGGGTCTGTCTCATGCTAGGCAAGTGCTCCACCACTGTACCACTTCCCCAGCCCTGTAAGCAGGCATTTTTGAAGCAAATAAGTCAGGAATGAGTTTTGGAAAAGCAGCACAATTTTCTCTTTATAGAAAGATTCTACACAGACCTCTTTCATGGAGTCTCCTCCTCCAGCGTGTTTAAAAATATTAGGTTTACAGAAATAGGCCTCTGTGCAAATGTTCCAGTGAATGCTGGTTGCATAAAAAGCTGCTGGGGCCTGGAGTGGCTGCCGGGAAAGCCTGTGTGGTGGCCCAGTCCCAGCTACACTTGCTGCTTGAGGACAAAGCCAGGGCCTCACTGGTGCCCTTGGCACCTGGTCAGGCAGCCTCCTGAGGCAGGGCGGTGTCCAAGATCGGTGTCCACGCACACTTGTATTTGTCTCTGCTTTGGCCTTTACCGCTGAGAGCCCCAGGGCCACGCACACCGAAGCTTCTGTTCTCTGCACAGTGCGGATTCTGCTCTTCTGGAAGCCGTGGCTGCACCCACTGGAATTCATGGGGCTCCTGGCTCGGCTTCCACATTGTCCTGCGGTGACCTGAATCCCCATTGTGTGTCAGGTTACACTTGGGGCGGGCGGCCAGGCGGCTCCACCCTGGCTCGCTGTTTCCTAGCAGCGCTCCCATGGCTCCTGATCGGCTTCAGGTCTGTAGTCCTTCCTCAAATCCCGGAAGTCCGATGGAAGTTTAGTGCGATGTCTATTAGCCACAGAGATGTACTGGAAACTGCTGCAGAACATCGCGACTTCATAGTGTGTTTTTCCTGGAACTAAATTGTTTGAAATTTTGGCTCTTTGAAGAACTATTTCATAAGAAAAATTTCAGACTTTTATTTTACTATATACATAATTGGAACTTAAGGTTTCATTTGCAGGGGAACATTTTATACGATGTATCATTCTTCTGTGATTCTACTGGATTCTTGGCAGTTATCTGAGGTTACAGTTCAACACCCCAAATGGTATCTGTTCAGTAGCCCCAGATGAGGTGAGCACACAATGTGTGATCAAAGTGTATGGTAAATGTTTAGATTTAACAGTTACTGCAATGAGGGAGACATTGGCGCCCCCCGACCCTCCCCTGGCTTTGAGCACACCTGTCCCACGTCCTTGCCACCTTCTGGGTGGCTCTGGAGTCCTCTGTCCCAAGTGTCTTTATGGTCAAAAACCCAGTGAACACTGCTGCCGAGCACCATCCAACGGAAAGGCAGCTCCTAAAAACGTGAAGCTGTGTCCTCATCCACCTTATTCTCCAGGGCTGGCACTATGGAACATCCGGCTCTTCCCCAAAGTCAAAATAACTGTGAAAGGGAAACCTTTTGAGGCAATTCAGGACATCAAGGCAGCCAGGACAGCACAACCAGAGACAGTCAGGAAAGAGGACTCCAGAGCTGCTTCAGAAAGTGGCAGGAACCATGGGATGAGTGTGTTCGAAGCTGGGGGAGGATTGTGCGGGAACTCATGGCACCGTGTCTTTGATTCTAGCAAATTCTCTCTCTCTTTTTTTAAATTTTTGGTTCTGGGGATTGAACCCGGGTCCTTGTGCTTGCACAGCAGGCAGCGAAACCACTGAGCTAAGTCCCCAGCCCTCTAGTAAATTCTCTAAATGTGCACATTCTCTGTGATTTTTTGATCACACCACGTACGCACTTGGAACAATGAGTGGGGCCTGGCTCCATTTCCCACGCCTGTGAACGTCTTCCTGGCCGCTGTGCCGTCGTCTTTCCCCCCAGTGTGCCCCTGTGTGGCAACATGGCAGAACTGTGCTTGCCCTGGAGATGAGGAAGTGCAGGTGAGCATGGTGGAGGCTCGGGCGGTCTCTGGATTTCTTCAGCCGTGGGGACCTCTTCCACCCCCTCCCCTTGCAGGCTGGAGTCCGCCGCCCGGCGGCAGTGCCTGAGCTTCTGGACGCCCTTGGAGGCCCCAGGGCGTCAGACACAGAAGCCCGGGCTGGGTGTCAAGGGGGAGGCCTGCCTGCGTCTTGTTCGCCCTTCAGTTGTGACCGTGACCCGGGGAAGTGGAGGCGCTGTGCCTTGGGCCTGAGTAGAGGTGGCTGGGCTCCTGTGGGCTCCAAGGACCCAGCTCTGACCTGGCCGGCCCGGGGACGTCAGTGTCCTGCAGTGTGCGCTGGGCTCCCTGTGCCTGGCGAGGAGCCTGGGGTTCGTCCGTGACCCTTGCCCTACCCTGGTGACCCCAGCCCTGCAGTGGAAGGCCAGATGTTGGGGTCCTCAGGCTTCCTCCACACCAAGGGACTGAGGCTGCCGGCCTCACAGCCTCTGCTCAGGGTGACTCACAGGAAAGGGTTTAGCAGAATGAGCTCTAGACGGGGGGAGAGCAGTAGCAAGAGCACCAAAGAACCTCTATTCCAGTCCCTGTTGCTGATTGGCACTCACCAGGAGGGGACGTCACTAGGGCTTCGCCCTGGCCTGGCCTCCGCCGCTCCGCCTCCTCCCCTGTGACGCAGATGGCAGTGGGGCCACACTGCCCTTCGGAGGAGCTGAGGGTTTGCTTGCCGGGTCCACTCTGCCTCCTCGCTCCCTGAGGTCTTCGCTGACAGAGGAGACAGCCTGGGGGGGCTGCCCCCTCTGAGTTGGGCTGACCCGAGTTAGCAGCGCTGTTTCTGCCCCAGCCCCTTGGCCACCGACAGGGGACACATATCTGGGAGGAAGCCGGGTGCTGCACCCTTCTGCTGTAGGGCAGTCATGGAAGGGGTGACTTCAGTTCTTACGGCCAGGCTGGGGGCCCTCAGCCCCAGCTCTGTGGGGCTCAGATTTGGGGCAGAGTCTGGAGTAGGGGCAGAGGGAGGAGGAGAGGGCCTGGAACTTTTAGCAGCAAGTGTGCGTGCATGTGCTAGAGGCGTGTGTGTGGACCACAGAGAAGGCCAGTGAGGGCAATCTTCCTCCTTCTGAGGCTGTTTTGCTGCTAGGGCTGGGCTTTGTTGATCTGGGAAAATTGGGAGGAATTGTAGAATTTGGAGGTTGCAAAGAAATTTCTCTCCGTCCAACTGTGGGACCAGCCAGTCCAGGCATTGGCAGGACATTTGTTATGGAAAATACTGTCGTCATTAACATAGCGGTCCAGGCTGGCTGCAGCAGCGCCTCTGCTGGTGTGGTACTGCGTGCACTGCAGCCCACAGCCCTCAGGGCCGGCTCTGCTGGACAGCACCGGCGGGGCCGCTAGGTCTGGCTGTTGGCTGAAACCAGAGAGCAAGCCGATTTGTGTCCCCAGAGTGACAAGAACTTGTCCCAGAATTCTGACTTATTTGGTGGTTACCAGGATTCCTGGGCTTTTTGTGAACGGTTTGTCGTTAGCTCTCGGACTCACGGACGAGCTCTTTGCAGGGCTGCCTGCTGCTCTGCAGAACACCCCGGCCTGCTTGTGGCAGGTTGGGATTGATTTGTTCCTCCACCCGGAAGTGGGAAGGGCTGCCGAGCTGGGCTCCAGCCACTAGCGTCTCAGCCAGGCACTCTTTACCATACCCAGACCTGGGGAGGGTGCCTGCGGGGCCGACACCTGAACTCGCTTTGATGGTTTTGGCCCAGCATCCTGGGCGGAGGCTCTGGCTCCTGCTCGCTCTGCCTTGGTTTTCTGGGAACCCTAACTTTGGTGTGAGCTTTTAGCGACCATGGGTTGTGCCGACAGGAAGAACCTCTGAATGCACACTTACCCCTCGAGACTTGGCCACTGGGCCAGTGCTCTGCATGCAGTGAGAAACTCCCGGAATAAAGAGACAGAGCCCTTCCCCATGCCCCGCGGAGGGAGGGTCCTGTGCGCCCCACCCTGCTCTGGCTGAGGGGCTGTCCACTTCCTGGGGCTGCAGGACAGGAGGCATCTGCTGATGGTGGCCGCCCACCAAGAGTGGCTCTGCACATGGGTCACTGCCCTGGGGAGCCCACAAGCTGGCCCTCTGTCCTCGTTCTCTGAGGTCCTTTCCTATGCTGACTGGGACCCATGGAGCAGGTTCTCGGGGAGCAGTCGGTGTCCTGGGCTACACGAGGAGTTCAGGGCCAGCCTGGACTACATAGCGAGACCCTGTCTCAGAAAACCAGGAAAGCCTTAAGTTAAATCTCTGCTATGGTCTATTAAAACCTTCATAGAGTCGCCAAAGCTTCTGATTCTGACAGAATTCAGCCAGTCTGTTCAGAGGCAAAAGTACAAATACATCATCCAATTAAATAATATTCTTTTACTGTGAAATGAAATGAAGTAAGACCAAAATGTAATAAGGGTGAATATATTTTCTCCCGCGTTTTAATTGTTAAAGAGGATATTGGTGTAGGATGATTAATTTTTTTAAAAATTGTGTAAACAGACAAAAATATCTAAAATGGGAATGGGTGACTTGATGATACTTGTGTCTGTTAATCTAAGAATCGGTTTTCAAAAACTCGAATGCAGAAATGTTGGTATGGCATTAAAGAGACAGCAACTTCTTTGTCCCGGAATACACCATCGACAGCCATCTTTTCTTGTGTTCTCAGTGAGGTCTTTTTGGTGTGTGTGCAGTTTGAAGCACAGTTTATTCTAAACGTGTTGCTCTAAGAAGAGGCCTGCAGGCCCTCAGACCTGCGAGAGCAGAGGCAGGCGGCCGTCTCAGAGACATGGCCACCCGCCCTGACCCCTCCTTGCCTTCAGATCCCCAGGTACATCATCACGCTGCACGAGCTCCTGGCCCACACGCCCCATGAGCACGTGGAGAGGAAAAGCCTGCAGTTTGCTAAATCGAAACTGGAGGAGCTGTCCAGGTACGAGGGGAGGCGGGCTGGCGAGAGGAACCAGACAGCCAGGCTGCCGTGGAGACCACACAGGGCATGTCCCAGGGAACATGAGTCCCGATTCCCCGACTCACCTTGCGGCTAAACGCAAGCTCATGCCTCGGTTCTGAATCATCATTCACAGTAATTTTAACCAAGAAAACAATATTGCCAAGAAAGCTTTTACACTAGGTAAATTTATGTAACTGAGATTCGGTGTATTTTGGTTTAAGTTTGGAAGCGTTCACGTTATTTTCTCAGCATCACCAAAAAATGACTTTCAATTAAAATTATGTACAGTGGACCCTTGACTTATGAACACAGTTCATTCCTGAGGGCTGGATGTAACCCAGTTGGTCAACTAAGGCTCGGGCTCCTCTACACAGCCTTCAAAGTCTCTCTCCCATATACAGGCAGCTCTCAGTGTCCTTAGAGAGACACTGGCCCAGGATTTCTCAGTGAACCCCACACAGGAAAGGATGCTGTCATGTTCCTTCCAGAACTCTGTAAGGGTTACATCTGTATCTGAGACCATCTGGAAGCACAAGTGGCCAGGTCATAACTCAAGGCTTTGTTCGTAAGTTAAAACTAAAATTCCAGTTGAACTCAAGTTGTTTGTATGTCAGGCTGGTTGTGACTCAAGGGTCCACCGTACTCAGATTTGGGAAACGCTGGAGAAAGTAGTTGGCATTTCTCCGTGATTTTTCACAGTTCCAGGCACTTACTAAGCTCTGTGTTTGTTAGTTCACATGGGATAAATGGTATCAAGGTGTCTGTTTACTCTGCTCCCAGCAAATGGTGCTCTCCTAGCTGGCAGCAAGCAGTCTGTAAGACAGCGCATTGGTTTCTGGTTGCATTCAAAACAGACATTCCCACGGTGCTTGGTGACGTCTGATGACACGCGGACGCACCGTGTGTGCCGGCCTTGCGCTGGGGCAGGGCCGCTGGCGTCCTGGGGGTCCAGGCTGCTGCCCCACCCCCGCCGCCCGGGCCCAGTTCAGCCGGGACAGGTGCAGAGCCGGCCTCCTGGGTTGGGGTCTCATGACCGTGTGCCAGTGTAGCTGACCTCTCCTCCGCGCTGCGTGGCAGGGTGATGCACGACGAAGTGAGCGACACGGAGAACATTCGGAAGAACCTGGCCATCGAGAGGATGATTGTGGAGGGCTGCGACATTCTGCTGGACACCAGCCAGACGTTCATCCGCCAAGGTGAGTCCGCGGGCCCGGCTGCCCGTCCCGCGTCTCTGGCGGAGGCAGCTGGCTTTCCGGAGCAGCCCCGGCTGCGTGTGCAAGGGCCACACTGGTGCAGCCCCTCCAAGGGCTCAGCCTGGCTGCAGTTGAGGCCGCTCTGTGCTGTTTCTTTCCAGGGGCCATGAAAAACAGCAGCACAATAATAGTGCGGTGTGCGTGTGCCAGGGAGGTGCATGCCGGCTGCACTGTGCTCCTCAGTGGACCTGACGTCCTCTACAGCCCTGAGGAGGAAGCGCCTGGCTGGCCCCGTGGCGTGGCAGTGCCAGGTGGGGACGATGTCCAGGCCAGAGCCCAGGAGAAACTGGCGTTCCTCAAAGCCCTGTCACATAAGAGTGGGGACAACGTCCAGAGCGAAGGCAGCTGTTTCCTGTTTCCATTTTTCATCGGCACTTCCGGGCCGGCCCTGCCCGGCAGCGTGTGATCTGCCCGGTAACCGGTTAGGAGATGGCGTCGCTCCGCACCCACCCCCGCTGCGCTGCAGTAATGGCCAGCTTCGCGTTTGTGGCGTGGACTTTGGGGCACTCACCCCGCCGAGCAAGCTTTGGGAGAGTCGAAGATGTTTGTGTGCAGAAACTGGAGAAGGACACAGACAGCGTGGTTCCTCTTCAGTTCTGCCTGCAAGGGGCCAGGGTCAGCTGCGCCCCACGCTATTTTTCAGGGTGTAGGGACTTCAGGGGAGGAGAGCAGGCTCCATGCCGAGGATCGGGTAATCAGTACCGTGCATTGCACACACTGATCAGTTGGAGCCTGGTGGGGAGCGGAAGCTAAGTTTGGAACTCGGATTGATCATTAATGTGGTTCCTGCATATCAAGTGCTGTAGCATTTGAAGATCTGTGCATGGCCGCTGCCTGCCACATTGTGCTGCTTAAAGTCTTTGTCTTCCAGCAAGACATTAGGATACGCGTTCGCTTTTGCAAAGAACACTTGAAGACTTCCACCCATGCCGTTCTCTTTTCCGTTATTTGTTTACATGGAGTGAAGCCGCAGATGTGTCAGAATTTAGAAGTGTATTTTAGAAAATGATTCCTTTTCCCACTCTTCTTGGATAATAATGGAGCGGAATGCTGACAGCGGCAGGCCTGTGTGTGTCCCCTGTGGCCTCCTCACAGACGGTGCCCCCTTTACTTCCTGCTCTCGTCTATGCCTCTCCCTGCCGCTCCCCCACCCCCGTTTCGGAGGTCTTTTGTGCCATGGAAGGAGGTCCGTTGCCGCCCCAGGCCGGGTCAGACACAGGGTAAGGAGTCGCCTTCCTCTCCGTGCCCAGGCCTGGCGCGTGTGCGTGTCCTTGTGCTGCAGCCCTGGTTTTCAGCCCCTCTCTCTCCCATGGACTAAGCTCCGAAGGGCAGCATTTGTGAATTCTCTCTGCCCCACCTCACCTGGCAAACACTTGACATTGTAGCTACTGGGAAATAGGCACAGGACCAGGTTGGATTTCTTGAACTGCAATTGTGATTGGAAGATGTTTCATACTTTTCTTGTGTTTGGAGTTCAGCAAACATGCCTACTCATGGACCTGTGCTTTTGCATGTGTGAGAATGAAAACGAAGGTTTCTAGAGCCACCATACAGTTTCCGTAAGGACTGTGGCCAGATTCACGAGCACAACTAACGCTGACTGTCTTTCTAGAAACTCGGCCTGTGTGGATGTGGGTTTGGAAAAGTACCAATAATGAAAAAATGCTAGAAGGTAAATATATTGAATAAGTTGTATTTATGCACTGCACACAGTGAAAAAAATCATTAACCCCTTCTCCCCAAGGTCAGATCCACGTGCTGTTGTTTCTTGTTTCCTGCTGTATTTAAGGTGCTTCTGTCAGCTGTTACTGTTTTTGATGTTGCCATTGTGCCAAGGACGACTGGATGATTGCTTTTCATCAGCATTTTCCTGCTTTCAATAAAGGTGGCTTCTACATGTCAGACCTTGATCTGGAAGTGGAATACTGCAAATCACTACAGACAACTGGGAAAGTTTGCTTTGCTCTGCTTTGGCAGCTCCTGTCATCACTTTTGCTAAATCCCCTTCGTGGTCAGTCTTAAAGAGTCACGAAGGTGTTTTGAAAGATTATTATTCTTTAAAACTTTGAGGATTCTATTTTCTTTGAAATGGAGTAAGATTTATTTATTTCTAGTGGCTTGCTGGTGTTTGTGTCGACTTTCACGGATGGTAGAAGGTTTATTTCAGTGTGTGTGTGTGTGTGTGTGTGCACGCATGCGTGTGTTTCTGCACACAATTTCAACCCTGTATGAAATATTATTCTGAGAACTAGAAAAATGAGTCATCAAGCTCATGTCGAAGGTTGTCTCAGGGTAAGGGCTTCAGCCACTCTCCAGGGGTATTTGATGGAGAGATGGAGACAGGAATCATTAAGTTCTATTGTAAATGATTTCCATCTTTAGATAGCAGAGTTTGATGAACAGGAGGCAAAAGAGTGTATTATAGCAGTGATCAAATACTGCCATTTACTTTCCAAAATCTAATAACAGAGTTTGTTGAATAGATGCGTAAGGGTGGAGGTGGCCACAGGGCCCCAGTGCAGCCACGTCCCTGGAGGTCCAATCCCGGTCCTCATTCCCCGCCTATGTGACGTCAGACGATGAGCACAAGCTTTCTGTTTCCTCTCCTCACACCGGAGTTAAAGCAGTGTCTGTCTTTTACGATGATTTCGAAGATTAAATGAGCTAATGCCCACAAAAAGCACCTTGACTTGAGCCTGTGAGATTATGACAGTCACCTAAAAATGAAGAACCAAGGTTCGGAATGGCTTTCTATTTCTAATAGCATGAAGTCTATATGAGTCTTTGTTGGAAGATAAAGGCACTCTACAGTGACATTTTCTGTAAACCCATTATGCATTGCCAACATTGTCTTTGTGGAACTGTGAATCAGGAAAATTAAAGGGGACTGAAGACCGAGCAGAATGCTTGAGAATGAGATGTGGATTTCCCTGGCACCTTCATCATGCACAGGCTCAAAGCCACGTGCGTCCTCTGGACTGCTGGGTTTGGAAATTGTAGTATCAGTTCTGGAAACAGGTCCACTTTCTCAATGCCTGACCCAAGAAGCTGGACACTGCTCTTCGTGCTTGTCCACTACAGAGTGGAATTAAGAATTGGAGCGCTTTCTGGTCCCACGGGGCCTTGGCATGAATCTCATGGTAGTGATGACAGAAGCCTCGCTGTAAGGCGACCCCGCGGTTGAACAGACGGATGATCAGGGTGCCACGCACTGCAGCAGACCTGTCTGATACTGGGCGGTTACTAATTTCAGTACTAATTACTCCTCTAATTTGTGTTAACTAGAGAAGAATCTTTTCTTCAAGTCTCAAGGCTATGTTGAAATGTCACGGAGGCTGTGTTAAGTGAAATAAATCAGACACACAAGCTTACATGTCACGCGGCTCCTCGTACATGAGAAGCCCAGAGTATAAATAAAGAGCCAAATAAAAGGGAGCTGAGAAGAAGTCTGAAGACAGCGTTCTCCAGTGGGGAGGGGATGAAGAAAGGGTGGAGAGGTGCTGTGTGCGGGTACAGACTCCACACAAGCAGTGTCCTGGGGCCGCTCACAGTCACTTGTTTGATTAAAAACCGTAAGCTGAAATGTGGGAAAAGAACCTCCCTAAAAGACTTTTCCAGTGAATCTCGTTTCCTAAGCCAAACAGTGTTGGCATTTTCCTCTTTTGTGTTCCGATGCGTCGGTTTCTTTCCACCCCTGCAACTTGGAGAGGCAGTGAGTGGTGATGGACAGAGCACGTAGATGTATGGTTGCCAAGGAAACTTTTTTTTTTTTTTTTTACTTCAGAGCTGCACTTCACATTAGCTGAATTGCTAACCTGTGAGCTAACAGTGTGCGCTGTCTCTTCTGACTTAGAAAGCCACTAAATAGCTGGGACATTTACTGATGTGCACACTGCCACTGTGCTTTCCCGGGCTTGGTCAGAGCCGCTCGGAAACGCCTGCCAGTGCCTGCATCCCCTGTGCACTTGTGCGACCACTGGCTGCCCAGGCTCGCTCCGTGCTGCACTGACTCACACAGACCCCAGCGGAGCCCTCACTGCTGCTGTCTCTGCCGTGGCTCCCTTCCCAGGGCTCGGTGGGTGTCTGTGTTGCGGGCCCGCTGCTGTCCCTGACTGTGCCCCTCACTTGGGAGAGCTGCTTAGCCTGGGCCTCAGTTTCCCCAGCTGTATAACATGTGGAGAGGGGCTGACCCAGGCCCTCTAGGGCTTCTCTAGCTCTGGCTCCGTCCCCAAGGGAACCACAGGTCCACCCTCTTACCCCTGCTCCTTCCTGCCCCTCCCCTTCCCTGTCCCCTCCAGCAACTCTCCCAGCTCCCTTGCTTTGCACCCTTCATTCCCGCCCAGCCTCCTGCCAGCTGGCCCCGCCCCGCCCCTCCACTGCACCTCTTGCTCAGTCTCTTTCCTGGAATGGAGCCTTGTCCTGGCCCTTAGTTCTGGGCCCACTGCTTTGCCCAGAACTGGTTCCTCGACACTCTCTAGGCACAGAGTGGCTGCCCACTCCCAGACTTCAGACATCCCACCTCATCTCTCGCCCAAGACACAGTGTGATATCAGGTCATGGAGCTCAGGTCCTTTGCCACCCCACACATCTCTGTTAAAATGTAGATGCAATTTGGAAGACTCGTATGTTAATATGCAGATTTTGTGACTCATAATCATGGTTTTACTGCCTTAGGTGCGTGTGCTCTTTATAGAAAGAACATCAATGTTTATTTCCACCCAGAGAAATAAGCTGTTCATTAAAAAAAGTCAAGAAACTCAGAGAAGCTATGAAGAGAAAATCGAGGTTGCTGCAGTCTTCTCTTGCTCAGCATCATGGTTGATAGTTAAGGGTTGAGTACGCACTGAGTGGCCCTCGGAGGTGACAGGAGCGTGTGTAGGGCTTGGGGGTGCAGGTGACACAAAACTGCTCGGAGAAACATTGCCGCCCAGGGACTTCAGAAGGCAGAGCCAAGGCGCTCGCGAGTCTTTCTTGGTCCTTTTTGGTTTGCTATTTAACTTCAACCAGAATCTACTTTTCTTGGGGGGCGGGGGAGGTCACTATTAGGTTGTAATCTAGAAATGATCAGAGGTAATCTCATTATTATGTAAAGTCTGTGCATTGCTTCTCATGTTGTACGGGAGATAGTTTTGCTCCTGGGGCACTGGATATGGATTGGATGTGGTTTATTTTCCATGTAGAGTCCACAGAATTTTTTTTCACACTTAATATAAATGCAAATCAAAATAGCTGCCCTTGAAAGAGTAGTCCTTAACTAAATTGGACTGAGTTATATAATTTATTTATTTTTATAATACATGTGTATCATACATCCTGTCTTCAAAGTACAAAGCAGATTGATTAATATGCTGTTTACCCACTTTCAGCGATTCAGGAAGAATGAATCCTGTAAGCTTTTGCCTGTTGCTGGGTTACCACGTGCGGTTGTACGGTTGGCACAGTGGGTATGACGAGGAGCAGCAGATCAACCGGGGCCATATGAACAGGGACAGAGGCCCAAGGGCCTTGTTCTCTGAATTCAATTTGAATTCCTTTCAAATTTGTGTTCCAGTTGATGGATATGAATCCATCGAGTCTAAAGTGTTCTGCAGGAATATTAGAGACCATCGCACCCTTGACATAGAATGCACTGTTTATTCTGCCCTGAGTGGCGATTTCTGGGCTCTGACTGTGCACGGAATCCAACCTTGGTATCTTGGGAAACGGGGCCCTTCTGTTTATCACCCAGGGTACAGCCCTTGCTCGGCAGGATTTTAACTGCTATGTATTCTTCACTCTTGCAACCTCCAGGTTCTCTTATTCAAGTACCTTCCGTTGAGAGAGGGAAACTTAGTAAAGTTCGCCTGGGTTCACTGTCTTTGAAAAAGGAAGGAGAGAGGCAGTGCTTCCTGTTTACAAAACACTTTTTAATTTGTACAAGAAGCTCAGGAGGAAAGCTCCATCTGCTGAAGGTACGGGTCTTGCTGGCCATCCCGCAACTGTCCCCGCACGTAGGAGGGAATGAGGGCCATTCCACTGTGACTTTCCCACACTGCTGCTGTCCTAGACTAGGCTGTCACGACTGCTTAGAGGGAGAGGCAAGGCATAGTGAGCAGCCCATTCACGTTAGTTTTATTGGCATCGGGACTCTAATAGAAATTTATTTTAATGATGCATTATTATAAGGTAGTGTAATTAAAATCATAACGTGGACACAATTATTACTAGTTGACAGCTGCTGAGCTACAGAATCTTGGCAAATCATTGAGTGCACTGATGCAAAATTTGCCAACTGCTGTTTTATCTAGGGCCCTATAGCTTGCTGTCTGTTTTGTTAATAAAGTTTTATTGGAATGACTGCCCTCATTTGTTTACGGATTATTGCCTGTGTCTGCTTTTGTGGCAAAATGACAGATTTAACTATCGAAATGATATGGCTTGCAAAGCCTGAAGTATTTACCCTCTGGGCCATTTACAGGAAACACTGGGCTGTCCATTCCTGTTGTTATGATTGCTTAAAAATACAAAGCTGTGGTGATGTTTTCCACTGTCTAAACCACTTCCTGGTTGGCAGGTCCAGCCCTAGAGGTCACTATGGTGCCATCTGATCTCTCATGAGTGGAGCCACCAAATTTTATAGACATAGAGAGCAGGAGTGGAGTGGAGGAGAAAGTTTAATTGATATTGAATGAATTCAGTTTACTTGGCACATCCAAATTTCACTGTGGACTCTGAGAAGTTATTTGTGGTGTAGATTTACATGCTTTTATTTGTGACCTCTGAGATACAGTATAGGTTTTGAAAATCAGAGATTCCCAACACCGCCCCAGCCTTCAGCCTCTTACCGATGAATTGCTTTGTTTCCAGACAGGTGGGGTTCTCTCGCTCATAGAGTGCACGCTGATCGAGGAGCAGGACGCCAGTGATGATGAATGTGAGCCTCTTTCTGTCACCAGGTGTCAGGATGGGATGAAAAGTAAAGCTCGGTGGGTTTAGTCTTTGAGTTGAGAGGCGCTGCTGAGGACAGCAAGAGAGATGCTGAGCATCACCCCGGTCATTGGTCAGTGGGCCGTTTAGGCTGTGAGCTTTGTTAAACTGTCAGGGTGCTGAAAAGTCCACTGTGCTTGTCTCACAGTAGTGACATTTTAGTGGCAGGGGGAGAAGAAAGAGGAGCTGAAAGAAGTGCTGGATTTGGGGTTGGGGATGTAGTTCAGTGTAGAATGGTTTGTCTTGCATGGAGGAAGCTCTGGGACCCATCCTCAGCACTGTAAATCAAAAGAGTTGAATTTTGTACATTCTGGAAATTAAAATAAACATGAAATAGACTGCATAACCTACTGCTTCACAAGACTCTGTTATCCACTGGTTGTCTGCAGTGAATGCAATCATTGTGTACTGTGAGCATCTACTAATAAAATTTAAAAAGCAATGAGCCCTTCTCATTCCTAAGTAGCAGTGTCACTGCTGGCGTGAGGTTCTGGACTGGCGTGGGGTGGACAGCACCAGTGGAGCTGTGGGAGTGGCCGTGGCTCATGCTGGGCCCTGTATCTAACTGCTGGGTTTCGGTGCCTTGCAGCCAGGGGCTCTGCGCAGATGTTCGGGCACCTGGACTTCAAGATCGTGGTGGAGCCCCCCCACGCTGCTCCATTCACCGTGGTCCTGCTGGCCCCTTCGCGCCAGGAGAAGGCGGCCTGGATGAGCGACATCAGCCAGGTAAGCAGGGGCCCTGGCCATCATGTTTTTTAAAATTTCACAACATACACATCTGGTGAGAATTCTTAGAGATATTTTATTTTAATTTAAAATTTATATATTTGAGTAAATAAAATGTGGGATATGCACAGTGCAGAACTAGTTAGCCACGAAGAAGGAGAAATTTGAGTCGTTGGTAGGGAGATGGATCTTGAGACCATTATGCTGAATGGAGTAGACGAGACACAGAAAGATAAATATCACATGGCTTCTCTCATATGAGGAAGCCCAAATGTAAGTGATTTAAAGAGCAAAATAAAAGAGAGATGGTAGGAAACATGGAGGTGGACTTCAGGGGTGAGAAGGGGCCTTGGGGAAGGGAAGTAAAAGCGATCAAGATGCAGTATGTCTGTGTACCAGTGCCCAAGATGGGCAGGATTGTTCCGTGTAGGACGTACACCGACAATAAACATTCACACCTGCTCACCACGGTCACTGCCCTTCCACCGTTCGTCTCCACAGCTGCCCCTGTCCTCACTGCTGTGTTTTCTTAGGGTTAACTTTTACCTGAAATGTAGTGATTGCATTTTAGGTCCTGGGCATTTTGTGCTCACTGCAACTATCACAACTGTGTTGGACAGGATTGAAATTGTCCTGTTGCTGATAAGTTCTTGAATGACTCCATTAGATTTTTTGGTTATTTGTTTCTCAAGTAGGAAAATGATGAGTGATTAAAAAAAAAAAACCAAAATAAACAAAAAAGCAGTGAGCCAGGGCTGCAGTGAGAGATCACACGCTAAGGAATGAGAAGAGGTGCTGTCTGTCGTATAAAATCTGAAGCCCAGCTCCTGTGTTTTATGAAGAAAGATTAGGGGTCAGAACTGCTTACCTTTCCTGGCTCAGGAGTGCTGCATTTCCTCACACACTGCTACTGCTTGGCAATGTTCCATGACTGGACGTGAGCTTCCTGAACTCAAATGCTGCATGAATTTTACTCCATTTCCTAATACAGTGGGCAAAGTGAGTCTGTGTGAGGGAAATTTTAACGTGAGGCTTCAGGTGCATGCCGCGGCTCACTCCTATAGTCACAGCTGCTCTGGAGGCTGAAGCAGGAGGATCCCTTGAGCCTAGGAGTTTGCTGCCAGCCTGGGCAACAGAGTCCCTGTTTCAAAAACTAAAAGTAAATCTCAAGTTAGCAACTGTCATTAGTTACTTTCTTCTTGCTGGGACAAAATACCGAACACCCACCACTTGAAGAGAAGTTGATTTTGGCTCATGGTGTTAGTCCATTGTTGTCTGGCTCCAACGCAGGGAAGCATGGTAGAAGGGATTGGTGGAGGAGGTGGCTCACATCGTGGTGGCCGGGAAGAGAGAGCGAAGGGAGGAGCCGGCGGGGGGCGGGGAGATGAACCCTTCCAGGCCACACCCCGGTGACCTCCAGGAGGGCCCCACCTCTTAGCAGCTCCCCACTCAGCTTCTCAGACAGATGAATCCACTGATGAATGTAGCTCGCTCATGGTCCAGTCACCTTCCAGAAGCCCCGCCTCTGAGCACAGGAGAGTTTGGGGAGACATCCTAGATCTAAACCTTAATAACATCTCCCAGAGTTGTCACCTCAAGACATTTGGGACAACTGCAAAAGGTAAACATTGTGGATTTTCTTGCCTTTTTTTCTTTTTTCAGAAGACCTCATAGGAGCGAGCCTTAGGTGGACATATGTACTGTACCATAGTTCTTCCTAATAGTTTTCTTTTTTTGAGAGAGAGATTGAAAAGTGAGGGGAAAATGGAGCATGAATGGCCATAATAATCATTTTTATTTGTTACGGGAGTTTTTCAGGCTTAATCTCATTTAACCTTTGCATAATATTCTGAAGGCAGAGAGAAGTACTGCTAGTCCCGTTGCACAAGAGAGAACCCAAGGTCTTGAAAGTGAGGGATTTGCTAAAAGTTACACAGCTGCTCTAAATCAGGACTGCCATCTATTCCAGGTCTTCCTTTTAGTTCCGTGTAAGAGTGCCATATGCAGAATTTTCACTTATGTAACCTGAGGACTGCTTTGATGGTGAATAAATAGCTGGCTGAAAAAGGAATGAAACATGGGCTCTTTCATCAGTCCTTGTGCATACTTGCATCCTCACGGTGACTCATTAATAATATTTCCTGTAGCTCTGTGCTCTGTCGGCTGAGATCTCATGAGTCTCTCGTTCATAAAGCTTCTCTTGCCTTAGGAAGCTCTGGACGCTGCGTTGATTCTCTGAACGTCTATTAAAACTTTGCTGCTTGCTGTTGGGCTTGTGCAGGTGCAGGGCTGGGTGCTGCTCCCGAGATGAGCTGGCTTGCAGGGCAGGAGAGAGGAGGCAGGTCTGTGCAGCAAAGTCTGTAGGTGCTGTGAAGCCAAGATGCGCAGGAAGAGCAGGAAGAGGAGGAGTAGGCAAAGGTGTCTGTCCAGCTCCCTCTCCTTCCTGCTTAGGGTTTTGCTGGGGCTTCTGAGGTTGAGTTGAAAGCAGCCCCGTGAGCTTCGCCAGGCTGCCTGAGGGGCATGGTTGAGAGAAAGACCCTCGGAGTCAGAGTGCACGAGTGACTCCATTCCGGTCTTTGAAAGAGAAGAGCCTCAAGTGTTGCCTGCCACAAGCATCCCCTTTGCTTAGATTACAGTTTGGAAAGTGTTCACCTTCCTCTTTATTTCCTGAGTTGCTGTGGCCAGTGTGGTGCATAGCCAGAAATTATGCTAGATTTCATCTGCAGTGGAAGGAAGCTCACAGGAAGTTATGTCTCTCAGAGTGGCAGTGAGACCTTCACATGAAGGTACCATCTCAGCAGTCTTCCCACCGTGTGGCTTTGGACTCTGTGGTTTCATTCATTCAGCAGACGTATTTATGTGAGTACATTGTGCCAGGCACTGTTCTAGGGACCTGTGACACATCCTGAGCAAAAGAGCCACCAGCAATGAATTCCCAGACCTTCTGCCACTTAAATTCGAAGGTGGGGAAGGCCTAACATGTACAGAAAGTGTAGTAAACAAGTGCATGTTGTTGATGTCAGAAGGCACCAGGGCAGGGAAGGGCTGGGCTGCTGGGTCAGCGAGACCTAGTAGAGGTTCAATATGGTGTCCGTGCCACTCTGGAGACTTTTAAACAAAGACCCCATGTGGTGATGGGAACCCCATGTGCACCTGTGAAGAGAGGAAAGTCTTTCCAAAATAAGAAAGTAGCAATGATAAAGATCCTAGAGCAAGAGAAAGCTGCATAGTTGGAGGAATTCCGTGGAATCCAGTGTGGCTGAATTGGAGTATGGGAGGGAGAATAGAAGTAACTGAGGTAATTGTGCAGATTGGAGACTCGTTCATCCACACCAGTGGCAGGGCTTTTCTCTCGTACTGAGTCAGCTTTCGCAGGCAGCTGTTAAGGTTGGAGTGAAAGAATCCATACTGGAGCCTAGGCTTGGACGTGACCCTTTTGCTGCCATGGTGGGGCGGGGGCACAGGAGCTGGACACTTGGATGGTCCCCCAGGCGACATGTGAGGGCCACCGACTGGTGTGGCGGCAGTGGGGCCGAGAAGGCTCCTGGGTCTGGGTTCAGGTTGAAGGATGAGTGAGCAGGGCTTTATTATGAACAGGGTCCAGGCTGGGAGAGGAGGAGTCAAGGGCAACACCAGGGTCTTCAGCCTGAACCACTGCAGGAATGGGGCAGTCTGCTGGGGACAGAGACTGGGAGATCTGGCTACCCAGTTTGTGGAGAGGTTGCTTATACATTCCCGAAATTGTCAGTCTCTCAAGTGTGTCCCTAGATGTACTTATCGTTAATGGGATGAGCCACCTGAGTGCCTGTGAGTGTAGTGTTTAATATTTTATCTGGCAGACAGAAAATATGGACGCAGAAATGAAGTGGAAACATCCTGGCACCCACCACACTAAGCCATTTCCCGAAGAACTTCCCGCAGGTGACACGCATGAGTTCTGTACCCGCACTGCGATGTCACTCCAGCCTGCGGTTACTGGGCACTGCAGGCCACTGCCACATGCACAGTTACAGAACCGCTGCCCTGAAGAGCAAGCTCTCTCCACTTCCGATCTCCCACCGGCGTGTCACGCAGAGATGACTTGACAGTTTGGCTCTTGGAGTGTGCACACAATGCTTTTAAACCTCATTTTCAGGGCCGGGGATTTAGCTCAGTGGTTCCACCGCCTGCCTTGCAAGCTAAGGACCTGAGTTCGATCCCTGGTACCAAAAACAACAACAACAACAACAAAAAAAAACCCCAAAACCCCTCATTTTCTTCTCTCTATATAGTTCCACACATTTTTCATTTTGATTGCTTCTAATAAATTGCCTATGCATGTGTATGCATGTATGTGTACATACATATACACGTGACTCTATTACCATTTTATAGCTTTTTCAGAGTCATTGAGCATTGAGCATATAGCTGCTTGCAAGTGTGCGGATTAATACAAAATGTGCTAAACATCGAAATGTGGGCAGGGGTTTCATGTACTCTGCAGTGAGTGTACTGCTGGCCTCGAGGGGACAGTCACCTGCATGATTTCGTGACCCATGACTTGCCCAAATGCCACAGGAGAAATAGAACCCATCACTTCACTGCATTGTCCATGAGGTTTCTGGGTGACTTTCTCCTAAGTCCTGCCAAACCTGATTTACATCATAGTCACTGCATTTTCCTGGTAAATGGAAAAATGGTTTTGCAGTCTTCTAGTGGTTTTAATTTACATTTCTGTCCTTATCAATGAAATTAATATTTCCCACTATTTCTGTTTTATGTCTGTTTACATCAGATGCACATTAAGTCATTGGAATGATTCATATAGACTAAGAAAATGAACATTCTCTTTCAATTCCAATTGTGAATATGTGCTCCATTATTTTATCTTTTTAAGTATTTTGTCAATCTTTATTTTTCTAAACCTTGAATTTTCTGTGGCTTGATTTGAAGCCCCCTTTGAAGCTGTTGTTCCATGTTATACTGATCACTTAAGAGAATAAAGCGCTTCCCGAGTATCA